AGATCGTTCCAGAGGGCCGGAGCAGCCACAGAAAAGGCCCTCCCCTGGGGGGGTCGACAGTCAACATTGGCTAGCTGATGGTATCTGGAGGAGGCCTAATCTGTGGGATCTGATTGGTCGAAGGGAGGTAATTGGCAGGAGGCGGTCCCTCGAGTACCCAGGTCCGATACCAATTTGTCAGAGTGCCAGGCTCTCAGGAATTCTCTAGCATTTTGGGATTGGTTTGAGAGCAAACTCCACACCTTACTAGCACTGATGATGTTACCTAATTTGGATAATGAAACATCTGCAAGAAAACAACCAAATTCAGAGAGCATCAAAGACCTCTCATTTCAACCCTGAGCTACAAAATTCTCCATATGGGACAGAAATATACAATTGGATATCATCATTAGTATGTTGATTGATATCTCATCCAGAACTGATGGGTGCTCTCACTATCAGTTCCAGACATTAACCACGGGCAATAAGATTGAAACCTGCAGCACCCTATGCTGGAAGAACAAAAGCTTTGGTTAACTATAACCTCCTATCAGAACCACTGCTTATGAACAATTGACACTGCTGCAAAACATTACTCCCTACTGCCAATTCTCATGAAAGGCCATATTCAATTGATACAGGTCTTGATGAGGCCACCCTCAAGAGTGACCAATACAATTTTCCATTCCATACCTAAGTCTGAATCCTGATGCCAAGAGATCAAGATAATTAGCTTCATCTAGGACTCTTTGCAAGTTTACTTTCTCTAAGTTCTTCCCTAGGCAGGAAATGTTACAAACAGATGATAGCTATCTAAAACAGCCTGAGTAAAGGATGACTTCTTCAGGAAGAAATGTATCGTAGCCTCCTTCTTCCCTCAAAGAAGCATTAACAGCCTCTTGTATTCAGGTGCACACATCCCTAGTGGCCTCCCAAAGATGAAGCCCATAGATCACAAAATTCAAGTGTAAGAGAGACCTGTCCATTTCTTCAGAATTCACAACCTCAAGCAAATGCCAGATGATTTCAAAACACACTTTCTAAGTCACGTCCTTTGGATCTATACATGCAGCATTGCAGTAAATATGAATGATTTTTCTCAGCAAAACAATTGGCAAAAATGTTACATCAGCCTGCAGGGAGATATGTCTTGCCTCTCTTTCCTCAAAAAGGGAACAAGCCACCGTAAACAGTGCCACTGAATGACCTTCTGCCAATGCAGTAAGAGCAGAGATATACTGATGCTTTACCACCCTTATTGCTGTTGACATTAGACTCATAGCAGTATTCGATCAAACTCAGCTCTTGTTTTCATCACAATGCTCTGGACATTACTTTTGCTGCTTCATCATCGACAGCTTCTTGGTAAACTAAGGAGGTCCCTTAGGATCAGAATATACCAAGAAGCTGCTTGAGAGCAATTTTATCCAATGCTCGCCCATACCTTAATTCCAGAATGTGACATGACTTATGGCAGTACTGTTCACCATGAGTACTGCTAAGAAAATCCCCAAGCACCTACAGTTAGTTCGTAAGTTCTCTAAAGTAGGACCATCTAGTCCGTCCACCATGCTTCAGAGTTCAATGGTGATGACTCACATAGCTGTCCCAAAACTGACCAGACTATGTTAAAATACTCAATAATGTGCTCTTTCAGACCATAGGCCACCTGTTCCAAAATAAAGATTCAGTTAGAATCATACTGGGGAAACTGTTATTTTATGTACAACAAATCCTGGGAATAAATATAACATCAGAACAATTAATTCTGTACAGACAAATTGTTGCATAAATGTGATAGCGACATTACATACCCCTTAATTACAAAATGCTTTTTCTGTAGGACATTGAGGCTTAATGTATTGCATTTTGGTACAAACTTATAAATTAAACATTTCTAGAATAATTAATCTGTTCTAGAATTAATAATAATTTAATCACCTTTCCCCAGCCAGGTGCTTTCCAGAAGATTAGACAAGTTGGAAGTTATGGATCTCAAATCCTTTACACAAGAAGGAAGGATTGTCTTAGCCAAGAATTGTTGCATATAACAGCATTTCATTTCAAAGTATCCAATATTCTATTTTGGCAATGAAGAAGGCCAGTGAAATAATAGGACTACACTGAATGCTCTCTATAAAGCTTAATTACAAATCAGTCTTACTCTTAAAATAAAGTTTACATGATTTGAAATTTTCTCCTCTAGAACAAAATTCTGTTACAGAAATTATGATTTCCATAATTCTTACCCAGAGACCCAATACATTTAAATAGCACAAGGTTTGGGAAGGTTGTCACTATTAGCATTTTAAAATAAATATATAAATACATAGCAATTCTGCAGCCAAATTAACACCAGCCCCAACCAGTCTTGCTCTAAGTCATGCCATATATATATATTTGTCAGCACAGAAAAGTAAAGACAGGAATGAAAATAAAATACATATCTAAAAGCTTGTTACATTTTCTCTCCCTTTTGCAAGCAACTCTTTTTGATCACATCTGCTGCCCTCAAAGTACTCTATAAACATAACACAAGGAACAAACTGATTCATTAAATATATATGGAATGCCACCACTTACCTGTCAGGCGATCAGCAAGGACAAGACAGCAAAGAGAGGACAGAGAGGGGGGGAAAGGGTCTAGAAGGAAAAACTCACAGATTATAAAGGATATGGATTGCACACCATCTTGATGCACCAGCTACGAGGGCTGGTCGTCTGTTTTAGGCAGAAGAAAACCACCGGGGCCAAGTCAGGATAGGGTACATTTGGGTCCAGTGCCGGTACATCAGCATCATCCTCATTGTCCTCTAGGTCTGGGGATGGCGGTGGCTGCTCCAATGAAGTTGGTGGCTCATTCATTCCCAGATCCACATGCTCCAGGGAGCACATTGTGGGGCTGTTGTGAATTGATGGGCTCCCCAAAGGCCAGGCAGAGGAGTGGTGGGAGCCATGCTCTGCCATGCTGGCACAAAATGAGAACTCCTGAAAGGCATAAAAAAAGGTAGTTGGACATTTCCTCCCAATGGATAATATAACAATAGCACTTAGACTTATATACTCCTTCACAGTTTACAGTTTACTTTGAGCCAGTGAAAATCGAACTGCTGGCAGCCAGCAGTCAACAGGATTAGTCTGCAATACTGTATTCTAACCACTGTGCCACCACGGCTCATGATTCTCTTTCATTTTTGGCTTTGACAGCACTGGCAAAAAGCAATGTTGGACCATGAAATTATTAGCTAAAGCCCCAGTTCATACTGAACACTTCTTCTTTTCATGCTATTTAAATGAAAAACATTTTGCTTCATTTTTTAAAAAAATAAAGTCATTATTACCATCCACCAATAACAACCAAAGGAGTCAACACTATCCTGATTACTATACTGGGGGAGTGAGTTGTCTGGATCTATGGCCAAATAAGTTGACAACCAATATGCCCTTCAAAGTTGTCTTGAATTGTGGGATGAGTGTCAGAATGTTAAATGTGATTCGTATTGCAAAGTGTGCCTGCAGTGATGTAATCAACAGAATGTTTCACCACATGATGCCTGGATTTACCACATCCTTATTTCCATTAAAACTGAATGCAGTATGATTCAGCACCAATAAAAGCAAATACATTTTTATACAATGCCTCATTCAAGTGGAATGCACAGCCATCCTATAAAAGCATGACCAGAGATTTAGATGGTTTTAAAAGGAATCTGGATAAACTAAAAAAAAAAAAAAAGTAGGAATCAATCTCTACTTAATTNAGGGGTGTGACTGGGGAGTATCTCCAGTTAGGATGATGCATTGATGGGATCATGTGATGGACCTATGGGTGCTGGGGCAAGGACTTGGACTTTCTTTTGATTGGGGGAAACTTGGAAGCTTTCAGATTCAGGTTTTCCCAGATGTGCCAATACAACATCTCTAATAAAATGGAACTTTGAGGAATGCTTAGCCTCGGAGTCTTCTTTTATTGGGGGTGTTTCTTGGAACGCTGACACTCTGTTGTTTTCTGTGTGGCCTATACCTTGGTCAGCAGATTGATTTTCCCAGTGCCAAACTTCAGGATAATGAACAGCAGCTAAGGGGAGGTCTCAATTTCCTTTAACCGCCAACACTCTTGAATTCAAGCATGACATACCCAACCTGTCCTTACACTGAGAAAATAAAACGTGGGGTGGGTGGGCTGGCTGGATATACTACATATGAATCTAAGAGTCATGATGACGGTGTGATGGAATTACTGTAGCTAATCTTTTCTTAGTATTTTCGCATTGCCACGGCCTTTGCATTCAAGCAAAAGCTATGCAACAGCCCACTTCTTATTTCCTCAACCTTCCTGGGAGTTTCTTTTCATCACTTCCGTTTAGCTGTGTCACCAGTAATGGCACTGACTTTTCCTGCTCTCCCTACCCTAAGCCTCTTTTCTCTAAAACACACATTATCAAAGAGAGATCCAACCTAGAATTAAGAAGAAATTTCCTGATGGTAAGAACAATTAATCAGTGGAACAACTTGCCTGCAGAAGTTGTGGATGCTCCATCACTGCAGGCTTTTAAGAAAAGATTGGACAGCCATTTGTCTGGCTTGGTACAAGGTTTCCTGCTTGAGCAGGGGGTTGGACTAGAAGACCTCCAAGATCCCTTCCATCTCTGTTATCCTGTTATTCCATGCATGGATCAAACATACATATTTAAACCATGTGTCTTTCTGTACATGGAATTCTTTATGCAATTAATATTTTACACATCTCTAATTCCCTTCAGCAGCTTGAAGAGATCAGTCCCTCTGCCCCCTTTATAACAGTCCATTGTTAAACCTAAAACAAAGACAGCATATCTTCTCCTTTGCATTACTAGAATCAGGAGTATTCCTCTGCAGAGTAAAACAAAATCAACTTCTGTAATTAGGTTGCAGACATAATAACCTTTGGTTAATACCAAACCATTCCTGCAGCAACATCTAAACCTGTTCTGCTTAAAATAGAAATAGCATGTAGACTTATATACTGCTTCACAGTGCTTTACGGCCCTCTCTAAGGGTTTATAGAGTCAGCATTTTGCCCCCAATAATCTGGGTCCTCCTTTTATCCACCTTGGAAGGATGGAAGGCTGAGTCTGGTGAGATTTGAATTGCTAAATTACAGGCAGCCGGCAGGCAGCCGAAGTAGCATGCAGTACTGCACTCTAACCACTTTGCCACCGTTTCTCATTTGCAAATCTAGTGTAGTCTTTAACTCCATCTGGATTAAGAATGGTCTCAGTTTTCCCAGCTGAGGCTGAGTAGAAATTACATAGACCCTTGACACAACACATGTAGGTAACAATCTTTATTTTATGCTAGGATGAAGCCACTTAATGCAGGTGGTTGCCCTCTGTAAAGCTGGAGCCCCTTCATATATTCATAGCAGTTTAAAATTAATGGACCTTTTGCCTTGTTGATCTCAGTTTTGGAGCTAAGCAGCTACTGGCTGTTGTCATAGCTAACATTTCTGTACTCAGAAACTTTAGAGCCTATCCTAACTGCCATAAATACACACCGCTGGGCTGCTCTCAACCAAAGTCCCACCACGGAGCAGAAGTTTGCACAAGGCTGGCCTGCCAAATCCCTTAGTTTGAGAAGTAACACAAATCCAATTAAAAGTGAATAATTTATGCTGTTGCAATCGTGGCATGCAAGAAGCAGAACTAGTGACAAGAAGGAGAAAAGAGGGTAATTGATGATTTGTGGGAATTACAACCTGCCCTTTATTCACACAAGATAAAAGACTGCCACCGTAAGCCATCAGCAGTCCCGAACTAAGACATAATTTCTTGTTCGATAAAGCTTGATCCCATAAGATTCATGTGCCTATGCAAACACATGCACATATGTGCAAGAGGGAGATGTCAAAGTGTCTGTAAATTCCTGCCCAGTAAACTGACAAACAAATGTTAAAGATGGGAGTAGAATAGAAAATAAGAAAGAACATCAAGCGATTTGGGGGAAATGGAAATAAAACACAGCAATAATAGTTATTTAAGACATCTAAACTTCTATTTCAATTAAAACTGTGCTGAGGCAAATCTTAGAAGAGGTGTCAGGATATTTCCCGTGAAATGCCAACGGGGTCATCATTCTTTAATTGAATTAAAGAATTTATTTACATTTTAAAAATAAATGTCAGAAAAACACAAGTCATTCTGAATATTTTAATAAAGTCAATTTCTTGGCTTCATAGCTTAATTCTCACTTTTCTATTCCACTTCTTGCTATCTTGTTGGGTCTGCTCATTGGAAAACATTACTGTTCATTCTAGACCCTTAAAATGACTTGAATAACCATAGACTTTCTAAAAGCCCTTTTTATTTATCAGAATGTATGCTGATATATCTTGTAAAAAGATAAGCAAAATGAGGAATTGTCTCCTTTTTTAAAACAAAACCAACTTTATTCGCATCAAGTGTGTTTCTTCCTCACTTGAAGCAAAATTATGTTCCAGTTCACTGCAGAGAAATATACTTCAGATGAGATGCAATGTTCATTTGTGATAACAGTTGAATCTTTAAATTCATATAGGCAGGGAACCTATTTCCCAATTTTCTTGCTGTATTTATAAAGTAGAAAGAAAACAAAAACATCTCCTTTTTTCTCTATCCCATTTTTCCCATTTATTCACAATATTTTACCTCTATATTTGATCCCTGTATTGACAAAATAGACGTTGGACTCCAATGTTAAAATGAATACACTTATAATGATTTTGGATTTAGTGAGTCACTTTCCGATTTACGTCAGAAAAATGTTGGACAGTCACTCTCCTCTCTCTTTCACACATTTGTCACAAGACAACGAAAATGTGGATCTTCTGGAAAAAAAAGACTAAAGAAGTAGAGTGCATACCCACATTCTACTGTACTCTTCAGATGCCACTTTCCCACTCTGATCCCAAGTGGACTCTAAGATGACTGAACAAAATTCTGTCCATATTTAGGGTACTTTGGCAATTACTTGCCAGGTGTTCAGACCACACTTCCAGCTCCTACAGCCCCACTGATAAATTCTTCTCTACTGTGTTCCAGGTTCTGTACTTAGAAAGCAACTACCAATAGCTTTCCTTTCTGTGTGTATATTTGTTTGCAATACAGACATAAAAATATATGTATATGAAGTTAAATTAAATGCATATAAGGACAGTTAAAACATCAACATAAAAAATTGCAAGCCCAACAGCTTGCTTTAAAGTATACATGCCTTTCTGCATTTATCCATATTTGGCTCAAGAACATTTGCTACAGCTTCTGCAATAGCAGATTTTTCAGTAGTGTGTGAATATAGTATTTATTTGAGATGTGGAATTTTGTTAGTTTTAATTAGTATTTTTCCTTACCTGAGATACTGCTTTTGTTTTAGAACAGCTTACAGCTGCACAGTTTCATTGTTTTTCCAATTACTTGAAATAGAAAGGTTTCATTCCAGCTCCTAAACGGGCCTATAAATATTGCAAAGTACTGCCATTCTTATCTATCTAAATTTTGAAAAAGAAGGGAAGGGAAGGAAAGGGAAGAAAAGGAAAGGAAAGGCTACATTGTTGATCCTGATTTTTAAGAACTGGGTAACACAGGGAAAGAAAGTTCATAATTTAAAAAGTTTCAATCGTGTTTCATGATATAACCTTTATCAATGGGATTGCTATTGCAATATTGATAAATACAGCTTTGATTAGACAGCTGCAGGATCTATCACTAACCCAGGTGAGGGGCATTCTTGCACAGTAGCCAATTGAAGTACAGAGGTTTACCTAGAATAAAGTAAAGTACCACAAATGAACTGGGCAGCAATATTTGTATCAGTACAAACCAGAAAAATTACTTTCAATGAAAAGCAGGTAAACACAAATGGAGGTCACATTCAGGATGGGCTGTGGATAAATAGAAGACATTCTTGTCCTCTATAATGGCCTGTATTTGTGATGTGGTGACCCTGTTCTGTAGATATCCTCTTGGCTTGGAATGCTTGGGAAATTAGCAAGTAGAGGTGGCAAGTCCATGGACTCCATCTGCATGTATCCCCAAGAACAATGCATAGGGAAAGGGTGGCTCTATATGTATAGATAAGTTATAAATTCGTTGGACAATCCTGATTGTAGTTTTGTTAACATTAAATGAGGAGAGGGGGGAAGGAGGGAGAGGGGGAGGGAGGGAGGGAGA